TCTGCTACCCTAAGCCCTTCCTTCGTTTCAGTGTCCCCAGCTTTAGTAAACATCCCCTCAAAATCACCTGGACTCATGTTGTGACATCTTTCCTGCACAAAGTCAAGAATCCACACACACCACCGGCCTGTCCCTATCCATAACCATATGTCCCTTTAACTGTCAAACTTCCCTAGAGAAAGAAACATAAAAATGATGACACACACACAAAAAAAAAGAAAAGAAAAGAAAAAGGAAAAAGCACCCGAGACACCCACCTCACATCTTTTGGATCTCTTGCCTAAAGAGAACCAAAATTCCATTAATTACAGAACTTTCTTGCCTTACATAGTGTCTCTCTATTAACTTACCTATTAAAAAGCCCAAGTGATGCCAGGACCGGTTTAGCTCAATGGATAGAGCGTCGGCTTGGGGACTGAAGGGACCCGGGTTCGATTCCGGTCAAGGGCATGTACCTTGGTTGCGGGCATATCCCCGGTAGGGGGTGTGCAAGAGGCAACTGATCGATGACTCTCTCTCATTGAGGTTTCTAACTCTCTATCTCTCTCCCTTCCTCTCTGTACAAAAATCAATAAAATATATTTAAAAAAAAAAAAAAAAAAAAAAAAAAAGCCCCAGTGCTAAGGTAAACTAGAAAAGAACTGCAATATTCAACGAGAAAAAGAAAAGAAACTTGATGTTGGAATCCAAATATAGCAGGAATTCTGCTTCCCTAGAATTCAAAAGAAAAAGCCCGGTGAAGTGAAGAAGATTGAACGTCAGTGAGAATGAAAAGGGTTCTGTCATAAACCTGACACAGCTCAGTGAGGGAAGGCACCTCCCAGGGCGAAGAGCGATCTGATCACAGACTCCGAACTGCAGGTCAGGAAGGGTCATCCAGCCTCGGGCCTCACATATCCCACCACAATGCTTGTTTACCCGCTGCCTTTAGCAAGTCCTGCCCGCTGCTCTAATCGCACCTTTGAAATGCGAGAAAGTCATCTGTCTTTTTCAGACCCTGAGCCTTAGCAAACCTCAAAGGAGCACGTGATTGGTATCCGTGTCCTGTCATCCAGCCCTTTCCTTGCCATCTTTCACCTTCACCGAATCTTCTGTGTTTCCTCTTTAATGCCAAAAGTTTTAAAACAACTGCAAACTGGCCGAAACCGGTTTGGCTCAGTGGATAGAGCGTCGGCCTTCGGACTGAAAGGTCCCAGGTTCGATTCCGGTCAAGGGCATGTACCTTGGTTGCGGGCACATCCCCAGTGGGGGGAGGCAGCTGACCAATGATTCTCGTTGATGTTTCTAACTCTCTATCCCTCTCTCTTCCTCTCTGTAAAAAGTCAATTTTATATATATATATATATATATATATATATATATATATATATATATATATATATACTTTTTTTTTTTTTTTTTTTTTTTAAAGAACTGCAAACTTAAAATGCTCTCAGGAGCCTTTTCTCAGTCTTTTTGTTTGAACAGGTCTGCACGGGGCCGGCTGGTACTGTGTGTGGGTTCTTGCCTCCATGCAGAAAAGACAATAAGAGTCCAGATGATTTATAGGGAACGTTTATTAAAGCTGGGGGAGGGCGGTGGAAGATATATGCAATACTATCCACAATAACAAATATTTAAAAATGAAAAAAATAAAGCTGGGGACAGTGAAACAAGGAAGGGCCTAGGACAGAAGTAACAGGAGAGGGACTAACGAGGCGGGGAAATGAGCCTAGGCCGGGCTGCTTTGGCTCCCTAAGAAGTCAGAGAAAAGGGGACCAGCTGCCGGATAGACACCCTTAGAGTTTGGAAGAAGAGGGGGAAGGGACAGGCCTGGACATGTGTGCTCCTGGGAGGGAGAGCTGCGTGCTGGGTCCTTGGTTTTTAAAGGCTGGGAGTTTGGGGGGAAAGCGGTCTTAGTGAAGGATCAATAGAATATTCATCATCTTTATGTTGATGCGCCAAAATGAGATGTGTTCCCTTAGCTTCATCTGTCTGTCCCTGGACATCTGCTGTCTCTCCCTGAGTAGGGGGTGATTTAAGCTATTCATCCTCCAGCTGGGGAGAACTGTAAACCATTTACTCTTAAGTGCCCTTGGTTTAGGGAAGATGGGATTTACTAGATGGCTACAAACTGCTTGCTTAACGATCTGCTCAGTCTCCCTATTCTGTTTGCCCTGGCTTACTAGCCTGCCTCATTTTGAGATTTTGCTTCAAGGCCTATCCTGTATTTAGACCAAATAAATTCTAATAAACTCTAAATTTTTCTACAAATTCGAGTTTTTCTGTGTCAACACCAGATTTGGAGCTTAGACAACCCCAGTTGAGACAAAACCTCTATTGAGTTGGTCAGTGTGTGTATGTGTGTGTGGGGGGGGGGGGGGGGAACACCTGAGCATCCCAGGACTGAACTCTCAGAGCTCCACACACCCTCCCCTCTTGTAAACACGGGACTGCTCCCACCCTCAGGCATCCATCCTCACAGTGAAGAAACTCAGAGCCTGGTCTAGTTTAAGGCTATGAACCAAATGGCCCCCAATTTCATGAATCATTTGTCCATGAGATAAAACACCCAATCTTCACCCTTGCTCAGTGTATACAAACTACAGTCTGAATGCAAGACAACCACAAAATCTACAAGCGTCTAAGCCTAAAAAGCCACAACTACAACCTCAGAAAGGGCCTCATCACCGCCACCCTACCCCAACCCTCCCTCCCTGCCCTGCTCCCCATCCCCGCCTCGCACCCCCAGCTCTCCCCCAGCTCTCCCGGGCTTCCTGACTTTTCTCACGAACCTGACATGAACAATGCGGCTTCGCAAGACTAAGCCCTGGGATTACATATGAAAACCCCGAAAATAACACACACGTCAGAAACTTGCTGTACACGCTCGGGAAGAGAGAATTCTACAAAAACAGAACATAATACATCAGTACTTTAATGTTTTTTTGACCTTCCTGCCTGTCTGGAACTATTTTATACTGTCTTTCAAGCTCCAGCATTTTTACTCTCATTGAAAACAAATAATTCCTACATTAATACATGTTTCCAAGTGACAAAACCAGGGAAGGAGCGGTAATGCCAGGAGAGAACAACCGGAAAGTTCCCAAGAGGAGCCTTCCAGGCTCCCCATAGGGTGCCCGGCCCAGGAAAGGGGATGGGAGAGACCACGGAGGAATTCATCCGCGTCTCCCAGGGGGTTGCTGTCGGCTTTCCCCTCATGGAAAACCGCCACAACAAATCCAAACCGTTACACACACACACACACACACACACACACACACACACATTCATACACACACACACACTCATACACACACTCACACACACTCATACACACATACACACTCATACACACACACACTCACACACACACTCACACACTCATACACACACACACTCACACTCATACACACATTCATACACACACACACACTCATACACACACACACACTCATACACACACTCACACTCACACACACACACTCACACTCACACACACTCATACACACATTCATACACACACACACTCATACACACACTCACACACACTCATACACACACTCACACACACTCATACACACACTCACACTCACACACACACACACACACTCACACACTCATACACACATTCATACACACACACACACACACTCATACACACACTCACACACTCATACACACATACACACTCATACACACACACACTCATACACACACTCACACTCATACACACACTCACACACACACTCACACACTCATACACACACACCCACACCCACACCCACACCCACTCACACTCATACACACATTCATACACACACACACACTCATACACACACACACTCATACACACACTCACACACACACACACTCACACACACACTCACACACTCATACACACACACACACACACACTCACACTCACACACACACACTCACACTCACACACACTCATACACACATTCATACACACACACACTCATACACACACTCACACACACTCATACACACACTCACACACACTCATACACACACTCACACTCACACACACACACACACACTCACACACTCATACACACATTCATACACACACACACACACACTCATACACACACTCACACACACTTACACACACATACACACTCATACACACACACTCATACACACACTCATACACACACACACTCACACACACACTCACACACTCATACACACACACCCACACCCACACCCACACCCACTCACACTCATACACACATTCATACACACACACACACTCATACACACACACACTCATACACACACTCACACACACACACACTCACACACACACTCACACACTCATACACACACACACACACACACTCACACTCATACACACATTCATACACACACACACACACTCACACATACACTCACACACACACTCACATACACTCACACACTCACACACACACATACACACTCACACCCACATATACACACACACCCACACACACTCATACACACACACACACTCACACACACACTCACACTCATACACACATTCATACACACACACACACACACTCTCACATACACTCACACACTCACACACACACTCATACACACTCACACACACATATACACACACACACACTCACACACTCACACACTCACTTCTTTGAAAAGTCCAACTGTGACTCCCGGACGGACATCTGGCTTTGGGAATGAATTTAAGGAGGGATTTGGAAACGCAGAGATGCATCCCCCTCCTAGGAAGAGCCACCTCGGGGGTCAGGGGAACAGAATCTTGGGTTTGAGAGCTGCTTTCCAAACAACTCGAAAACAGGAAAAAACGGGACCCAGAGGTCACAAGCGAACCCCAGGCCCTCCCACCCGCGGGAAGCCAGGGCGGCGCTGCGCCGGGCGGTCTCGGGTCCGCGGGCTTCAGGCTTGCCCACGGGGGAGCCGGGTCCTGCCCCGATGGTCCCAGGGGCCTGGGTCCCCGTCCTGGACCCCCAGCCCCGCACGCTCACCATTTCCCCGGGTCCCCCTGAGCGGTCCTCTCCGCTCCGCGGCGGGTACGGCCACGGCGGGACGGACGCCCAGCAGGTCCGGCCCGTCCGGCGCAGGTGAGCCTCGGGGCGGCCCGCCCGCAGGTCCCGGGGTTCGGGGGGGGGGGGGGGGGAGCGGCCCCGCCCACCTGCCCGCCCCGCCCCTGATTGGGCGGTTTGCGAGGACCCGCCTCCCTCGCTCCTGAGTGACAGCCGAGGGAACAGCTGAGGTGGTGGAGCAGCACCAGCTTCCGCTGGTGGGCGGGACCACCCTCCAGGGAAGTTTGCTTTTTGAAAAACAAAAAAACTCGCAACATACAAACTTATTTAACAAAAGTAAAAGGTACAGTCAAGCAGGCACTAATGTCATGAGAAAAAGCACCTAGGAGAAAGTGTATCTTTTAAACACCTCACAGGAACCTGCTTCCAGTTGCATTTAGCTGATCTCTGCTGCTGTGACGACACAGCTCATGCCCGGGAATGGATGAACGATGCACTGAATGCTACCATAGGTACATATGTATATGTGTGTGTGTGTGTGTGTGTATATATATATATATATATATATATATATATGTGTGTGTGTGTGTGTGTGTGTGTGTATTCTATATATATATATATATATATATATATATATATATATATATATATATATATATATAAAATCTCCATCACATTGCCCCCACCCCCAAAATGTAATAATTTTGGGGGTGGGGGCAATGTGATGGACGTACATTTTGGAGGTGGGAGCAATGTGATGGACGATCCCCTGATGGAAGATGTCGTCTAGAGAGAAAAATATGCGCTCTGGCTCCTGGATCGCGTTAGGCACCCAGCTTAGACTCTGCTGAGCACAGGCGTCTTCACACCTCGGCGGGGTTGGAAAACTTGTTTGGAAAAGTTCTTTGGGTCACATGACATTCCCGTGTCCATTGTGCTCGTGGAAGTATCTGTCAGCGTCCTGGATCAGATTGTGCGCCTTCTGCAGGCAGGTGGGCGGTGCATGAGGGTAGGAGGTGCACCCGGGGAGGTGGGGTGGGGCACGGAGAAGCTGGCCAAACGTACCCCGCGCTCCAAGGCCTGGATTGTGCTGTGACCAAGCCCAGGGTCGTTTGCTTTAAACCAAGCTTCCTGGTTCTAGAGGTATAGGAGCGTCCTCCCGCAGACACAGATGTGAAGAGGGAACTTCAGATGTTGCCATCCTTGTCCTCAGCAAGGGCCACTCAGGCCAAGCCAGACTGGGACCAGGGGGTCAGAGGTCCTCCCGGGTCAGAGGTTGGCAAACATACTTTAAAATGTTTACAAACACACTTAAAAATAGCCTCACCGTATGCAGTGGAGAGTCAGGCTCCATTTTTATGTTTATTGGCAGCATTTAGACTCCCACACATCCCATCTCTACCTCTAAGCATGTGGTACTTTAGCTAAGGAGTCCCGTGGCTTCCCAAACATTTGGATCTGGTGGCAAATTGAGCCCAGCAGAGCCACATGGGTCACATGGGTGCAGGGACTCTTCGGTGCACAATCATAAGCTTGGGCTGTGCTCAACAAAACTCACAGGGGCACTAGTACTGTGTACAGTAGGAGGGGAAAATTTTATAGTTGTTTTTTAATCCTCACCTGGGGACATGCTTAGAGAGAGGAAGGGAGGGAGGGAGGGAGGGAAGGAGGGAGGGAGGAGAGAGAGAGAGAGAGAGAGAGAGAGAGAGAGAGAGAGAGAGAGAGAGAGAGAGAGAGAGAAGAAGAAGAAGAAGAAGAAGAAGAAGAAGAAGAAGAAGAAGAAGAAGAAGAAGAAGAAGAAGAAGAAGGAGAAGAAGAAGAAAAGGGAAGAGGAGAGATGTGAAAGAGAAACTTCAATTGATTGCCTTCTGTATATGTGCACCTATGGAGGATCAAACCCAAAACCCAATTATGTGCCCTGACCAGACTTTCCCAGCACAAAGTTTTTATAGAGCACAGGAACCGGAGGAAAACAGGGCATGCAGAGGGAGGACAGGCCTGTAAGTTGTGTGAGGTCAAAACACTAGCTGTTTACAATCCAGACTCACATCTAGAAGCACTTTCTCTATGGCCTTTCTTAGTCTGAGGAGCTGGCCAGGTTCCCGGGTTCCCTGGTCTCACAGGCTGCCTACTGATGGCCTTCACTGCATTTCCCACAGGGTGGATGGAGGTGGGGGGGGGGGGGGGGAAGAGTTGGAGCATGGGAAAGCCCCATGTTCCCACTACCACATAAAGCGGGTCTAACCTGCATGACTAGCCACATATCAGCGATATGAAAGGTCAGGGGTTCTAAACCAAATGACCAGCAATATGCTAGGGGAGGAAAGATGACCCTAGTTTTGCCAGTTGCTAGGCGCCCATGGCTCTCTACCCTGCTGACCTTCTGTACCTCGCCCATCATCCTTGCTCTGCTCATGTCTACCTGCCTACCACACAAAAACTGGTTCAACCTGATCCTCACCTGTGGAGAGAGAGTGCAACCAGTGGCAAAAAAATCTGAATTTCAGAGAGCAGGAGACCTGCTTAACGTGGACATCCAGGACAACCTCAGAGATGCCATCTTGGGCACCCGAGAGCTCTGCCAGGGCTGTCAGCACATGAGGGAGGGGCAGTGAGAGCAACAAACTGCTGCAGGAGTTTTTGTTGTTGTTGTTTGTGTGTCTTTTTTTAAAACATATTTTATTGATGTTTTTACAGAGAGGAAGAGAGAGGGATAGAGAATTAGAAACATCGATGGGAGAGAAACATCGATCAGCTGCCTCCTGCACACCTCCTACTGGGGATGTGCCCATAACCAAGGTACATGCCCTTGACCGGAATCGAACCTGGGACCTTTCAGTCTACAGGCTGACGCTCTATCCACTGAGCCAAACCGGTTTTGGCTGCTGCAGGAGTTTGAGAAAAGTGGCAACACCTCCCTGTACACCCTCTGCTTCTGCCGAATGACCCGGGCTTCCCACAGCCACCTTCTCAGATTTATTCTTATTAATACTCTTTCCTTCTTAGCCCTTGTTTTTGGGGAAGTTTTGTTGTTGTTCATTCTCACCCAAGGAAATGTTCATTATTTCTTTAAAAAATATTTATTTCAGGCCGAAACGGGTTTGGCTCAATGGATAGAGCATCGGCTTGGGGACTGAAGGGTCCCGGGTTCGATTCCGGTCAAGGGCATGTACCTTGGTTGCGGGCATATCCCCAGTAGAGGGTGTGCAAGAGGCAGCTGATTGATGACTCTCTCTCATCGATGTTTCTAACTCTCTATCTCTCTCCCTTCCTATCTGTACAAAATCAAGAAAATATATATTTTTTTAAATAAAAAATAAAAATAAAAAATATTTATTTCAGAGAGGAAAGGAGAGAGAAACATCAATGGTGAGAATAATTGACCGGCCGCCTCCTGCACACTCCCCCACTGAGGATTGTGTCTGAAACCCAGGCATGTGCCCTTGACTGGAATTGAACCCGGGACCCTTCAATCTGCAGGCCAACGCTCTATCCACTGCACCAAGCCAGCTAGGGCTCACCTGCACTATTAATACCATAAAACTGTTTCCTGTAACTGGGCCTTATGTTGACATCATCCGGAAAAGAGGGACACCAGAAAACACTCGCAAGCATTGAAGCCTGAAACTGTCTCCTGGTGGGCACAGGTGGCTAAAAAGTAATCCACCCTCCAATAGGCCTTTGATGGGGATCTTGCGAAGACATCTGTGGAAAACTATACCTCTAAGAAAACGAAAACTGAAGAGTTGGTGGTGATTTTGAAGATACACTTGATTGAAGGGTAAGATATCCAAAAAATCAGCTGGAAGATGGTATTCTTGAAGTTCCTATGTATCTGTCTCCCTCTGTACGGTGGTGGCTCCAATATCGGACAGAATGACTTCTTGGCTTCTGCTCCCCAAATCCATACATGTGAGGATATTGGTATATTTTAACATGGAACCACAGAGAAAGTGATCCTGAAAAATCTACTTTCTACCACTCCCAAAAGAGGGAATGGCTCCAGCTGAAAAATTTTACCCTTTCACAGAACTCCTCTTTTTTTAAAATCCTCATCTGAAGATATGTTTTTATTGATTTGAGAGAGAGGGAGAGAGAGAGAGAAGGGGAGAAAGGGAGAGAGAAAGAGAGAGAGCCATAAGAAATATTGACCAGTTGCCTCCTGCCTGGAATCAAACCTGCAATCCTTTTGGTGGACAGAATGATACTCCAACTAACTGAGCCATCCAGCCAGAGCAGGTCTCTCTTCTTAAATCAACATATACTTACCACATGTTGGTCAAAAGAAAAAGGAAAAGTTTAACAGTAAAAATAATAACTCACATAAAACTTCATTCTTTCATAAACATAACAAAATTTACTCCAACTTTTTGTAAGAGTGGGAAAAGTAGGATTTTTTACACATACACCCCCCCAAAAAAAAAGACTTATTGAATAAGAAAGGGAGAATATATAATAGTGTAATAGACGAGAAATGTGCAGGAACTGTCACAAGGCCTGTAGGAAAGTCTCAACTTAAACCAAACTGTAATTTTTCAATAGCCCTTTAATACATACAAAAATAAACATCTTTAAAAAAATAAATCTAATTGCATATTATATAGAAATACACTTGAATTAACCCATAAATCTAAGACTTCAAAATATAAAAAGACAATGTCACTGATTGAATCACTACCTCATCATGTTATAGACTATTGCTAAAAGACAACTCGCAGAACTATTTCCCATATATCCATTTCTGAAAATAGTTTCAGTTGACCTTTGAATAACGTAAGTTTGAACTGCACAGTCCACTCATATTGGAGTTAAAATCTCTGTTAAAAAAAAAATTGGGAATCCATACATGCAGAGGCCCAGCTGAAGTTGTAGGTGGATTTTTGATGATGTAATCGGTCAATGTTCCTAACCTCCTCTCCCCCTTTCCAAGTGCCTACTTCAGTAAAAACCCAGTATTCAATGATGCACTATTTAGTAAGAAAAGAAGGAAGTTGGGTGAACATAATTTATAATTTTATTACCAACCCTTTAATGTTGAAAATTTTCTACAATATTATATGTATATGAATTTGTTTAATTCTCACCTGAGGATATGCTAGGATTATT